CACATTCTTTTTCAATGGAAACAGTTTGCCCTTAAACTAACTATATTATACACAAAATAACACAATATTTCCTCACAAAAGGGGAGTCTTACAATAAGTGCTGGCAAAGGCAATCTGAATTTGCTAGACTGCAATCAATCTCAAACATATATGCTGTCTCAGTTTTTGTGGCATCTATGGTACAGGAAAAATCAATTTGCCTCCACATAGCCACAGCCTAAGAAGTATATGTGTTATGAATTATTCTATAAAGCTATCTATTTTGTATAAAGTGATTATGTGAGTGAGTTTTTCATAAATGAATGATGAGACAAGATTGATAACTACCACTGTCAATAATCTAGTTAAGTTATTTGCAGCCAGAAGTACCAATATGCCACGGGTACATATAGTATCTGAACATCTTCCTACAGGGAGAGGTTAACAGATAACTCTCAAAGTCACAAACCACTGATGGATGTTTTGCCTCATGGTTGGGGTACATTTTTTATCACACATACTCACCATGCATGCTTAATTTGGGATGCTCTATTTCAACTGGAAAAGTGATGTAATACCAGTAGAAGCAATGAGCTATTTCTTTGGTTTGGAATGATTATAGTTTGCCTCGCCATGCTCTTGGCTATAGTACAATTGTTACCGGTTTGAAAATTACCAGATCTCAAATCATAGTGTTCTTGGATCCATTCACTGTTTTTAAAAAACGTTTATCATTTCATAAATAGGTTCTTAGCACTGTTCAACCCAACCTAATGGAGCAAAATGCAGCAAGTATTGCTAATTCAGGAAATGTATAAAAAGTTTCCTGTAAGGAAGAATCATGTTACACACATATATGACAGGCTGATGTAGGTTGATTGATACTGTGCTGTGTAATGGATTTCTATTATTATTAGCAGTACCACTACTAGTAATCTTATCTGGAACTGTCTCAGAAAAGAAACTTAAATTTACACAGATTAAAATTTATGTGGCAAACTGGTTTAAAAGGAAGTAAAAAATGTGATCAGCCCTTGATTGTAGTTTTGATTAGGACTTAAGTCTTTAAGAAATCCAAATTTTTTGCTGGTGTAACTCTCTTCAAGTTAGTGGCTTTTCAGTAGAGGAGAATTTGCCACTCTGTTGAGTTAATTTTCCTACCAAATGTGCAATCTTTGGGTCCTGCTTGCTCAAATGTACTGGTTTTCTCTGAGCCAACACCTCCTCCACTGCAATAAGCTGTACACATTTGTTTGCTAATCCCAGGATGGGCAATGTGTAGTTGCCCTTATTAACTGCTACCTCCACTTCCCCCCCGCCCCAGATCTGGGTATTTTCTACCCTGCTGCTGACCACTCTGTCCAAATGGTTGGCTTTGGACAGTACCTGGCCAAGGCTGCCAGCCAGCACAGCTGCAGAGGAAGAATACTGTTCCAAGGTCCATGCTGTAGGCTGGATCAGAATGAAAGCTCACAACTCTGCCTAAAACTTCACACTTGGTAGGAATAACCCCATTTCCCAACCTGAAATTAGTAAAACAGCTCACTTCCTAGGCTTTTGTTGTGCAGAGGAAGGATTTTGGCATAGCTCCACTTCTGTAGGTCTCAAAGTGTATCTGCGTGAAGACCCTTTCCCCACCCAAGCAGGCCTGTGTATTTAAGTGTTTGTGTCCATATTCACATACACAAATACATTGAGAAACTATTTGACCTCTTAGATTTTCTTCTGGGACCTGTCAATATTGATCCTCATTCTCATGATAGTTGTCTGCTACTGCTTCTGCAAGGTAATATAAGATCATGAATAAACCCTCAGTTCCTCTCTATTAGCAAAGAAGAGTCGGTTAAAATAGTTCAGGGACAAAATCATAGAAGTGTCATAATGTTTTTCCTGCCTTTTTTGGTTGAAAAAATCTCTGAACCTTTAAGTGCTTCAATGTTGCCAGTACCTTGATATAAGGACAACAGTTTTCTAGTAGATAGGGGAGTCACTGGTGGGTCCAGAGATGACTAAAGAGGCCAAACTGAGATTTGCGTGTTTGACTGTGGACACGGCATACCATTCCAGAAGGAGAAGTGGATCTTGGTGATGTCAAGTTATAGCTCTTTCCCTTTGTTTCTCTAGCCTACTTGCCTCCATAGTGAGGTGAGTTTGCTTGAAATGATCAATGCCTTGTCATATTTCACAATGCTCAAGTCTCCCAGGTATTGATTTTAAAATTGCATTTCTTCAGATTTGCCTTCAAGGTGTTTGTTCTTTTGCCCACTTCTAGAGCAGTGACCATTGGTGAGTTGGGCGTATAGGACCTGTTTTAGGAGCCAGTTGTCAGGCATCCTTATGTCATATCATGTCCAACAGAGCTGGTATCTTATTGACGTGGCTTCAAGACTGATAGTGTTTACTTGAGCCAGAATGCTGGCATCCTTCCAACTGATATGGAGGACTTCCATCCATCCTTCCAATTGATATGGAAGATTTTCCAAAGATATCGCTCATGGTAACATTCCAAGACTTTCAGGTGTTTCCGATACATTGCCTAGGTTTCACACCCATACATCAGGATAGGGATGGCAACAACTTGGTAGACAAGAAGTTTGGTTTTGATTTGGGTCCTGAAGTTATGATCATCAAAGACATGATTTCATAGACATCCAAAGGCAGAATGGGCAGATTTTATTCAGTGTTGAATATCTTCTACATTTACTTTTTGGAAAAGGTGACTACCTAGGTCAGGGGAATACTCAACATTCTCCAAGAACTGTCCCCTAATTGTGATATGTGGGAGAGCAGCTGGTTGGTTTGGGGTAAGTTGATGAAGTATTTTGGTTTTTGTGAAGGTGACAGTGGGCACTGATAGCAGGCACTACACAACACACTGTGTCACTGTAGCAATGAGCTACAGTGATGTAACTCATCGCTATGGCAACGTAGCATCGGCAGGCACTAACTGTGACACTGCTGCTACCGCGCAGTAGGGTTGAAAATGACCCGTGTGCTGCCAGGACGGCGCAGTACCAGCAGGTTCTTGTTTTACCAAGAACTAAACGACTACACAGCACCAACTGTGCAGTCAGGGGCATGTGTAGATGTGCCCAGTGAGTCCAAGGTTTATTTTGGCACTTTATCTAGCTTGCTTCTATTAAAGAGCTAATATTTTGGGAGTGGTTTGTAGCAGGGCACTAGGGTGCCTGCTACTGGCATTAGTAATATGGGCCGAGCTGCCAATCACTGGGGCAGCAGGTGAGAGTTGCCATGGCAGCTGATTGGGTCAGCTGACCACCAGGGGCAGGTCCTGGCCTATATAAACAGCCAGGCCGAAGCCTACTTGGCAGTTACCATCTAGCAGCCTGAGGAATAAGAGCTTTGCTGCTGAGCTGAGCCAAGACTAGTGGAGCAGCCTGACCACTCAAAGGGCTGCAATATGGCAAGGGTAGAGAGAACCCTGATTGAATGACTTTGCAGGAGAGCCAGGTAGGCACAGATTCTGTGTTATAGCCGGTAGGCTGATTTGGTATTGCAGCCAGTGGGCTCAGGGCTTTATGTTTATCATTGGGTTTGATGTTACACCGGAGGACTGGGTGAGGCTGTGGGGGTGCAAGGAGGCCTCATGGGAGCTCCCCAGTAGCTTGGAGGGGTTCCTGGTGCCCAGTAGGGGCACAGCAAGCAGTGCCAGAGAGGGCACAGTGATTGGTGCCACAGCTGGCACGGCGGGAGAGCACCGGAGAGGCGCAGTGTGTGGGGGTTGAGACCCTAGCCCGTGAGGGTGGTATTTTGCCCAGTAGGGCAAAGGACCCTGAGAAAGGTCCAGGGCCCAGGCACAGCTATGGGCCACCTGAGCCCCGAGTGCGAGAGGTGTGGGACAGGCCCCAGAGAGGGCGTGGCACGGGAGTGTGAGCAAGGCTTAGCAGGGCGAAAGCGGGAAGAGCACGAGGCATAAGCCCGAAGGGGGAAAGTCCCTTAGGAAGCCCAAGATGGGGTGAGCCTAGGGGGAAGCCCCATAAAGGGGTGAGGGCCAGTGTAAAAGCCCAGAGTAGGGCGAGCGAGCTGGTAGAGGCCCGAGGAGGGCAGGGCATGCGGTTCAGAGCCCAAAGAAGGTGATTACACAAGCAGAAGCCCCAAGAAAGGGCGAGGCAGGGCGCACAGGATGGAGCCTGGAGAGGGCAGGGTGCGCGGGACAGAGCCCGGAGGGAGCGCATGCATTGAAGGGCCTGGGAGGGGGCCACCACACCGACATAAGAACATCCGGGACAACTGTGTGCCTTGGGGCATGCTAAAGGGGAGGCAGGAGGCACATGTGGCCCATAAAGCCGGGGTGCGCCATATCACTCACTGGTGAACAGGGGCCAGTACAAAGATAGCACCATGCACAGGGGGGTCGGAAGGCAGCCTCCCATTTGATACTTATAAGATCAAAGATGTGGCGGGCGAGACAGAGGGTGTGTTTAGGACCCAGACTTCGCACGGTAGGGGCGCCAGGGGGATCACGGCTGTCCCTGTGCCCCACCCTGTGACATGGTTTTTTTTTATCACTAAAACCTAAGGGGCCATGGAAAACTATTCTCCCTACTTTCAAAAGCCACCCGTCTGCTTCAGAGACCCCACAGCTTCTAATTCATGTAGGGAGAGGAATGCTTACCCAGCAACTCCATTGTTTTAGAGCTGTTGCGTTATCTGTCGGTTAACATAGTGCCTGTCTTTTTAATTTGAAGGAGGTCAGGTTCTTCTAGCATTCGTTATTTTGGCTACTGCCTCTCCCATTGTTTAGGCTATTATACGTGGGAGAACTGATCCCTGGAAGGAGGTTGGGTTGAAGTAAAATACATTAAATGCTGGAAAGATGTTTACAGAGCAGTATGCTCACCCTCTGGTACATATGAGGGCCACTTAGCAGGAAGATATTCATCCTGCATTCCCTGATCCTAGAAAAAAGTTACAGTTTACCCTGCCTGTAACTATAGGGCGTAGTTGGAGTTTCTAACAGCTGTTCTTCTGATTATCAAGCACACTGTTACTGCTTGGGAATTTGCAATCCAGACATCAATGTTCTCTGTTCAGTAAGTCATAAAAGGGCATCACGTGCTTTATGAGAAGTATGGCTCCCTGTATTTGTATGGCATTGCTTCCCAGATTTTTAAATGTTATCTTTTCCAAGCTTCATTAAAGATTGCACACTGTCCTCTGCATGGCAACATGACATCACTGTGATCATGCTTCAGAAGATTCAAGCCCCCTCTGTTACGTATATTATAGGCTGGGTCAAAGCACATTGAAATAGGTAGGTCTGACTCCTGCTTTTTTCCTTAGATAGTCACAAGACAGAATTAAACATGCGTTTCTGCCCAGAACAATAGTAAATGTAAGGCTGTTCAAGAATGTAAGTAGTGTGAGCAGATAAACTTTGCTGACTCCAGTGCTGGGTGAGTAGAGGTGGGTGTGAGGCAGTGCAGGAGCAGAAACAGGCAAACAACTCAGAAACAGACTGAGGAAAAAGCTGAACCAGCTCTGTCCTCTAGCTCAGAGGAAAGTCTTAAGTCAGGTCAGATTTTAGCTGATAAAGCCTTGGGGCTGTGAGCAAGGAAACTTGGTCCTGATAAATTCCTCATGCATTCCAGGAAGCAGGACTTTGTACCATTTTGCAAATGAACGGGATTGTATTAAAGATACCACGTTCCACCACCAAGTTGTCCTCCTTATTGGAATAACCTTTAAGAAACTAAATTTGGCTAGTTGCTAGGCTCAAAAAGGGTAGCATACATAAACTTTGAGAGTGCCTACAAGGGTGCCATTCATCCTTTCTCTTTTCTATCAGCTCTGATATAACATATATTTCTAAAATAGCCTTCTGAGGCAAGCCTCTGGACCACTGTATTATCCAAGATCTTCAGATATCCAAAAAGCCAAAACTTTACACACAATATTTATTTTGGGCCAGAGGGCAATGTAACTTACTTTCACAGCTCTCCTACATCCTACAGTGAGACAAGTCTTGGCAGACAAATCGTGGAGAAATCTTTTGTAGTGCATTAATTGACTGTGGAAACTCAGTCTCATCCACTTTGTAGCAGAACATTAGATAAAAGGAACAAAGTATTCAGTGTCAGCTCAGGCCTTCACCCTTTGTTTTCCTGGCAAGGACAATATTCTAGCAGATAGTTTAAACAAGAAACTATAACTACCAATATCAGGGGGCTTTGGGGACTCGCTGATCCAAACTTAAGCATCAAAGAGTCCATGAGAGAGGACGATGAAAGAAAATATGAAGTATCTATAGCTCTGCTTTAGTCAAGGGAGAGATTTGGCCTTGCCAATCGAGTTATTTCACTGATCAATACAGCTTCTGACTTCTTTTTCGCAGGCTGAAGACCTCCAACAAAAAAAATCTTATGTCCTAAACTTGTAGTGTTCTGGAAGGGGAGAGGACCACTTTTTCCAAAATTAGTGTTATTTGTTGTATCTCAAGTTACTTAGGTTGCTGTCAGAGTTCAGCAACAAGCCACACTCATGTATCATCCTCCTGTACAAACTGATGTCTAACTTCTACTCCGAACTCTCATACCAATTCTTTATGTTCCCTTGGACAAGAAGCTTAATTTTATGCTTTCCATTATATCGCTGGGAAATAATAAGACTTGCTGACTAACTTTACAAACATACTGTGAAGACTCATTATTTATGATATGACAATGTTTGATACCAGCTCAGCTGGCACCTCCACTGCCACCAATTGATTAAGTGCTAGGTATGAAGGTATCAATTGTCTTCATTATTATGTTTGTTTATGTATGGCTGTGTTATCAAGAAGCTCACTGTATGCATAATGAACAGAATGCCACATTTGGAAATATTGCTACTACTACATTTAACATCTTAATAAACATCTCCTAAACTTGTTCTGCAGTTTCTGTATAAAGCTTTTTGTTTCAGCCAAGTGTTTAAAGTCTGACATCTGTTCATGAAGCTCACTTCTATTTTAGAAAACTCTTTGTAATCAATTCTGGAAAGAGTACCAGTTAGTGTAGCATTTTGTATTGCTGTTAACACCCTTAAAATACATTCATTACAGAAGACTTTTATTTGAACTCTTGCTGCCCTGTTGGGGATCTTCCTTAGCTAAACACTTCATGTCCCAAAAAGAAGTATCTGCAGATGGTGTGAGCTCATCTCTGTTTCATGTTTGATTTTGGTGGTGTTTCCACAGGATCTAAAGATGAACTGACGTTAAGAAGCAAGTAAGACTAAACCTTTGGGGAGAAAGAAGGGAGTATTTTCATTATACCTAGAAATATACTTCAGACATCCAGAAATTACAGATAGTTGCCTTGGTGCTAATAGCTGGGAAACTAACTACTACATTTAAAAATTAAACTGACCTAGAATGGGTTTATATTTCATTAGGATGACTCATTGCAACTGGGAGACGTGACCGAATTTAGCCACATTCTCTCATTGTGTGAACTGATGTACATCTCTTGAATTCAGTGCAGTGATTCCTAAAAGATGTGCCACAGCACACTATTATGCCGCAAGAGCGGTGGAAGTGTGCTGCAAAAACTGATACTTTCTCAATATCGGATTGGCCTGTGGGGCTTCCACAGGTCCAGAAATTTGACAGTGGGTAGCGGTGGTGACTTAACACTGCCACCGCTCCCTGCAGCTGAACTTCCAGGCTCTGCATAGGGGGATTGGGCCCCAGACAGTCTGGCTCCATGCAGTGAGATCAAGCCCTGGTCACCTGCCTATTTATTTATTGTTCACTATTATTTGTTGCCTCACTTCTATTATTTGTGGTTCATAAAATACCTCTCTGGAGGTAGAAATGTTTGGTTTTTTTTGTTTTGTTTTTTTTTGTTTTGTTTTTTTTAAAAAAAAGCTGTGTCCACTCAGATGCTTCTCTCCAGCATAGTCTAAAGCATTTAATGCTGTCTAATTCTAATTGAACCAAAACAATTGTGCCTTACACAGCCTCTTCTCTTTTGAGACAATACCACAATCTAATAGTCCACGCTGCTCTGTGTGCATAATACCATTCCCCCTCCCCTGGTAGCTTTGAAACGTATAATATAGATGTTGTTACCTCAGAATTTCTAATGCTTACCGTAGTCCCTCTTGCATATGATGAAAGCCAAACGTTCTAGCATAACCAGTGGACGACAGCACTTGTAAATTTACTGTCATTTCCGTTTTCACCCTGCAAAGCACAGTGGGTGTCAGAATTCTTCACGTTTGCATAAACATACGCCATTGAAGAGTTAGAGGCGACACACTGGCATGCCTCAGAGGCAGCATGTCTATTCTTGTAATTAATGAACTCATAGCATGAGGTTGTCAGGAACTCAGTATCCTATAAAGCTTGCATGAGTACCAATTAATGGTGGCACTTCTTACTGTTAAAGGGACCGCTCTAATGAAACCCAAAGTGTAGGCAAAAAGCAGCATATCTGCACTACCACATTGCACAAGGTTAAGAGGAATGATGTTTAATTTTACCATCTACTTGCATTGAAATAAAGCCGTTGCTGGTAGACCCTAAACATCAGAGGGAGGTAAGAGTGGTATATCTCACAATAAGACCAGCTTTTGTTAGGTTCCCCAGCAAAAAAAAAAATCTTATTTGCTTAAATATTGCAACCATTTTAAACAATACAACTTCCAAAAGGGACAGGAAAAAATATATTTAAAGAGTCTAGCCTCTTGGAAATGTAAAGGAAGAACTGAACTAGTCTTGGAAATAGAACCAAAGTAAGATTAATTAGTATTAGGACAAACATGTAAGAATATAGGGAAACACCAAGCTACAATGATGCTGACTTACCAATAATTTCAATTTAAATGAATGAAAAATGATTCCATGTTTCTGGCCTGAACTAGAGAATTAAAAATGGACACATCAGCAATCAGACTAACTTACTAATCATTTACTGAGAGGTACACTTAAACCTGCAGCATAAATAAATCTTCCCTGACGCAGTGAGTCCCTTTTCTCTTTAGAGTGCCCAGCACAGGCTTGGCAGGAACTAGGGACTCTGGGCAGAAACAATATGAAGGACTCAGCACTGCAGTCCACATGCCAAGCAGCTCACTTTTTTTTTACAAGAAAAGTTTCCTCCCACAGTGATTTGACCTTATGCAGAAGTATTTCTGTCTGTAGCCGAATGCATACAAACAATGTAACATTCTTTGGCGTATGCTCATCAAACATCACTCCTGACATTCTCACATCTGATTCTGGTGTCTGTCTGCTTTACACCCAAATCACTACATTCCTCACCCTGTAGCCACTATTTATTTTTTTACATATGAGGTTGCCTCATAAAATTTTACTTTGATGTTTAGCATTAGGAATATCATCCTCCTAGATATTTATGACTTCACTAACTTTGTAGTATATTAGAAATCACTCCAGCTCTTTCATTTTTTCTTCCACCTGTCCTTCTTCTTATATTTTGGATTAAAGAGTAAGAATAAAACTAGAATATACATGTTTTGCTAGTGATTGAGTGATATTGTAGCCATGATGGTTCAGGAAATTTCATAGACATTAGGGCTGGAAGGGACCTCAGAA